ATGATGGTGAGATGGCAGTAAGACATAAGCAGAAGGAGCCCAGAAGAGACGACATAGAATGGAGAGGTGACCGCTGTGGAACCTATTGCACCCTCATAACTCTGGATGAGCGTTATATTTTACTTTGATCTTGTAAGTGCGATTAAAGTGATTGGTGCTTAACAAGTTAAAACAACATTACAATATTACACTATTTATTTTTCCATTAGATTATAACTATAACAACTAATTGTTGTATGGAGAATGTCCAGGGACACCAGTAGCAAGATGGAACATATTCATAATAGTGAGACTGAGGAGCACCTTCTCATAGTTAAAGGGTAGTCAGGGAAACAGTGACCAGTACACCGAAGAAATGTAAAGAGGGCATATATTAACAGCTATTATACTGCATAATTTTTAACCCATTGATGACACTGAACATTTCTCTGATCTGCTTCACAGGATTTTTCACATGTGATGATGGTTTAGACTGTTCAGGCCTGATCCATCCACTATGAAAAGTTAGGTTTATTGCATGCAAAAAAACAGTTTGGAACTTAAAGAATTGCAATAATTATTGTGGGTCCTGTTCATTTTCTATTTAGAATCTAGCTGTAATAACTGTTTAATACTGTTTAATATAAATTTTCTGCTTATTTTAAAAAAAACAGCTATTGCTATGCATACAGGATTACAAAAACATATTTTTTTTCAATCAAGTTGCATAGATTTTTTGCACCTTTACAGCCAATAGAAACTCAATAATTACCACTGCAGGGTTAAGGGACATTGGACATTGCACCCAGACCACTTCAATGTTCTGAAGTGGTCTGTGTGCCTACAGTGTCCCTTAAGTTCGACTGCTACTTCCATTCGTTTTGTGAAGCAGAATTAAATGACCCTGGATGTCTGAGTGTCAGCCAGGTTGGTGTTTCTGCACCTATATATAAAGCTCCAATTCCTATTGAAATTGGCACTTTTCTAAATTGTCAAAAAAAACTCCAGACTCCAGACTTCAGAAAACTGAATTGCTTTATGTGCCTGGAGTGTTGCTTCAAATGTTAGTTCTGGTATTCCCAAAAATCGTATATATATATATATATATATATATATATATATATATATATATATATATATTATAATATATATATATATATATATATATATATAATACCTTGATTTAAACATTCTTTAATTGCCAGTTAGATGTTCCTGACTATTAATACTTAGTTCTCAGATCGGCTTTTTTTATAATTCTGTCTGTATATATTTTACCCAGGGCAAAACAGTTCTCTGAGACAAGATTATTAAAAGATCTGTCACTTTAACTTAATAAGATGCCTATTGGGTATATTATTTATTAACTCGGCATACTGTAAAAAATTACCAGCATTAGAGTTTCTAAAAATAACTTCGTCAACATATTTGTACAGAATATTTTCCGTTAAATTCAAATCCAATAAAGAAAATATTGATAGAGCGGTAATTCATTACAAAATCTAGATTGCATTCATTATTATTCAGTATATCAGCAAGCAGGAGTTCACACTTGAATATTGCTTCTAGCTATAAATTATCATATTTATTATCAACAGTCTGATAGCAAAACATTGTAAAATGTGGGTCTATGAATTCATCAAGAGGTGTAATTTCAATCACTTGCATCAATGACGTGGAACTTTTCTTAATGCTACTATCAGCAGATATTTTATATCTATATCGATGGCTTTGAAAGATTAAATGATCACTACCTTATGATGCTATGCATGTCGTACTAAACTTATTTTTGCACACATCATTTTAAGACTCCATATATCTGTGTACCTGGCGCTGCATACTACAGTAGTCAATGTAACAAATCATCAAACTTTCAGAGATTATTCAAATTAATAACACTATATTTATGTATGTTTTATTTAAAAAAAAAAAAGCGTCATCTAAAACTAGATAGAAAATAATGGGAAAGCATAGGTATAAATGAGTGCTCCTTCCTTTTTTTTTTTCTAAAGGGGGGTTGTATGATAGAGAAAAACATATAGAATTGTTTTTGTTTTTGTTTGTTAAAGTGGGTAGGGAAGAAAAGAACTGACCCAGAGTTGTTGAGTTATCCCTAGACAGAGTGCTTTTGTCGATGTGTATGGGATTTTATGGTTAAATTAAACTAAGACAAAGAAAATGAATTGCATAAGTAATTAAACTATATAAAGACAATTGATACTTTAAGTAATTTAGTCATTTACATATATATCAAAACCTATAGATGGAGTGAGACTGATATTATTTGATCAATAACTAGAATTTAGTCACATGAAAATCATCTGTATTTTAAAGATGTTCTTTCTATGTAAAAGATGGGAAAGTGAAAAAAATACACACACACACACATTCCAGTATTTAATGAAGATATGTAGGCTGGAGTAAAACAGACACACAAGAATTGAGATTTCAGGAGTGGGATTAAAATTATCCTTTAATCAGTATTGATAGGATCTACATGTTTTAAAACTGGAGACATCCTAATTGAATGGAGTATATCCCAATCATATTTAGACCAAGCCACAGGACATTGTGCAGTGATAAGGTCCTTATCACATTATATTTTGAACAAGATAAATGTTTACTAGAGACAAAACAAATAAGCATTAAAAAGTTGCTTTAGTAAGTGAAGTTCAAATGGTAGATATTGTCAAAGAATGCTAACTAAGCACCATCCTCAGATTGAAGTACAGCAATTTTTGTAATCTTCATTTTGGGACCTTAAAGCATTTGTATTTTTGAGTTCTTATAGGATCTTTAGCTCTCTTCTTGATAATGAAGATAATGGTTAAAAGGGTTACCATGACTACTTTAGTGATTTGAAAAAAATCAAACTGGCTTATATCCATTTCAAACTGGCTTATATCCATTCTGTGCAAAAAATGGCATCTGGTGCCAGTGGCATCAAAGCCCTCTCAATCCTACCTCAGTTCTCCTCACTTTCTGCCCTCCCTGACTTCTCACCCCTCTGGCAAGGGAGGTCAGCGGATGAAGATTGGGTTGCGAGAGAACTTGCCTCAAGCTGCAATAAAGATACGTTTAAAGTAACACTATAGTGTCAGGAATATAAATATGTATTCCTGACACTATACACTATATGGTATTTCACACCTATATGCTATAGGTGTGAAATACCATTTAGGTGTACAGCCTCCCTTTTTACCTTTTTACAGTGCCACCTGGGTCCACCCCCAGCTGGCCTCACCATGCACTGCCTACTCAAATTTGTTGAACTCATCTAATTAAATGCTTTCCCATAGGCAAAATGCCACTCAATTAACATCTCCTCATGAGAAATGTTTAGTGGCTCCATGCAAAGTATTGAGTTGCTGAACGTCAGTGCTGCACCTCTAGTGGCTATTTGAGTAATGGCCACTAGAGGTGATACTAGCCAGCAATGTAAATCCTGCCTTTTCTCTGAAAAGGCAGGGTTTGCATTAACCCCTTCCTACCATTATGGCATTCCATGCCACCCACATATTAAAGCCATTGCAGTGGCATGGAACGCCATAACAGCTTTGAGCCCCAGGAGCAGAAATATACACACACTGTCCAGGCTGTCCCCCCTCCCAGCAAAATAGATTAATTGTTCTCACAGGTGGTATAGATATATGGTCTTTCTGCTTCTAAACTATATCTAAACTAAAAGAGTTACACAAACCACCAAAAACACTTCTGCTTTTAGAAGTGGGCATGGTGTTAGGAGTCTTTAATGTGCAGAGTTTCTGCTTTAACCCCTTGACGACCGATGATGGTTCAGGACCGTCATCGGAAACATCCAAGGGGATGTTTCCGATGACGGTCCTGAACCGTCATAATGGTCTGGGGGTACTTACCTGATCGCCGTCAGTCCCCTGGCGGTGATCCGTGCTCCTCCCGGTCCAGGGGAACTGCCTGTCTGCCCAGGCAGTCTCCCCACGGCAGATCAGGACCCCGCGGTCACGTGATCACTCGATCACATGACCACACTGTGTATGTGTGCTGACAGGCAGTGTCCCTGCAAGTAGAAAATAAAAAAAATAAAAAATAAAGTAAAAAAAAATCAATCAGTGTAAAAAAAATATATAATATATGTATATATATATATATAAAATATATATATACATATATTATATCTATATATAATATATGTATATATATATATATATATATCATGTATATAATATCATACTAAGTGTATTTTTATATTTATATATCCATATATAAATATAACAATACACGTTTAATTAAATTACATACATATATATACACAATATGTATAATAACTATATATATTGTATATATATATTATTATAAATTATAAATAATATGTTAATAAAAATAAATAACAAAAAGTAAAAATAATTTTTAATAATTAAAAAAATTATATATGTAATTTTATTCTAACAGTATTTTGATATTAATATATATATATTTATATCAAAATACACTTAGAATGTAATGAATTATATATATATATATATATATATATATATATCTATGTATAAATAAATAAAAAATAATACGAAATATACATATGTCCATATACATAATTACATAAATAATTTCATAAATATACACGTAGACATCAAATATATAAATATGTATATATATTAAAATTCTACGTGCATATTTATGTAATATTTTTACCAAATTACGGAATTCTAATGATTGCAATTTGAGGGATCTGCCTGCCAACTCAGGCTGAAAGTCCAGATAATTTAATTTGCTAGCACTGTGTTTAACCCTGGAACTTTCTATGACACCCTAAAACCTGTACATTGGGGTACTGTTTTACTCAGGAGACTTCGCTGAACACAAATATTAGTGTTTCAAAACAGTAAAACATATCACAGCGATGATATTGTCAGTGAAAGTGACGCTTTTTGCATTTTTCACACACAAACGGCACTTTCACTGATGATATTATTGCTGTGATACATTTTACTGTTCTGATACACTAATATTTGTGTTCAGCAAAGTCTCCTGAGTATAACAGTACCCCACATGTAGAGGTTTTATAGTGTTTGTGAAAGTTACAGGGTCAAATATAAGGCTTGATTTTACTTTTTTTTTTTTTATTGAAATTTGTCAGATTGGTTAGGTTGCCTTTGAGAGCGTATGGTAGCCCAGGAATGAGAATTAGCCCCATGATGGCATACCATTTGCAAAAGAAGACAACCCAAGGTATTGCAAATGGGGTATGTTCAGCCTTTTTTAGTAGCCACTTAGTCACAAACACTGGCCAAAGTTAGCGTTTTTTGCATTTTGAACACACAAACAAATATAAATGCTAACTTTGGCCAGTGTTTGTGACTAGGTGGCTACTAAAAAAGACTGGACATAACCCATATTGAATACCCTGGGTTGTGTACTTTAAAAAAATATGTACATGTGAGGTGTGATTCAGGGATTTATGAGAGATAATGGTGTTACAATGTCACTATTGATAAATTTAAAATGTGTATATATATATTGAAACAGCGATTTCCTACTTGTATTTATAGGACTATAACTTGCAAAAAAAAAGCAATAAAGCAGGTAAACACTGGGTGTTTTTAAACTCGGGACAAAATTTTTAATCTATTTAGCAGTTTTTTTCATTAGCTTTTGTAGATAAGTAAAAGATTTTTCAAGTAAAAGTCCAAAAACATGGTTTTTTTTCAATTTTTCACCATATTATATTATTTTTTTTAAAATAAAATATATGACATGATACAAATAATGGTATGTAAAGAAAGCCCTTCTTGTCCTGAAAAAAAACCATATATAACTTGTAGGGGAACAGTAAATGAGAGAGAGGAAAATTACAGCTAAACACAAACACCACAAATGTGTCAAAACTGCTCTGGTCCTTAACGTACAACATCACAAAAACAGGCCGGTCCTTAAGGGGTTAAATGCTGCACATTTAGAGATATGTGCAATTATGAATTCGGGGCTAGTTGCACCATAGTACATGTGACTTTGTTCTGGGTTACCTAATCTGTGCAAAAATGATGTGATCAACTCTATTCCTCATATTGGTAGTTGTCAATAGGGCATTCTAAATCAAAAAACTAGATATTGTAAAACGATTTGGAGTAACACTTATATAACATTTATTATCTTTTAGCCAAAGTTATTGGCACAGACCCACTCCCAACTAGCACCAATTCTCCCATATACTTTTTTTTTTGATAGATCATAATTTACCTCCTTACTTGGGTTCTCAGAGATTTTTCTGTTTATTACTCATGTTGTGAGCTATAATATAACAGAAGGATCTTTTTCATAAGCCTTTGTTAAATACATTTAACTTATCTTCTGTTTTGTCAAGGTAAAGAACACTTCTGTTTGTCTATTAACATTTATGTTGAAGTTTATGTAATTTCACATTTAATTTCCTTTTTTTAAATTATTGAAAATTGATAGATTAGAAAAATGCACTTACTGTTGCTCCTAATTGTGAGAAACAAGAATGTGATACGGTCTTGTATTGGAATATGCAAGTCTATGATCTACAGCATTCAATTACATTTTGTACCGCTAATTAAAATAACTTAACTTGTTTATATTTCATATGCAATAAACATAAGTAATTTATTTTAATTAAAATCATGTGGCAAAACAGAATGAATTTATGATTGCATTTTATCAACATCAATATGTAACTAATTGTTTGCAAATGACATTTGAATTAATTCAAGTTATAATGTGCACAAAAGAGAAGAATTTAGGATCTCCACGCTTTTCTATGAATTCAATTTAAGTTTATTTTTTATTCCAGAAACATAAGTAGGTAGACTTCTGGAAGCTTAAAAGGACAGTGTAGGCCCTCCAGATGTTGCTGAACTACAACTCCCATAATTCTCAGCCTATCTATTTCATTCATAGAATCATGGGAGTTGTAGTTCAGCAACATCTGGATGGCCGTAGTTTGGGGAAGCCTGCACTAGAATAACTACAGCTTAATGTAGTGGTTCTGGTGTGTATAGCCTGTCCCTGCAGGCTTTTCAATGTAATAACAGTCCTTTAAGCAGTGTTCACATTGATGCCTAGTAACACCTCTAGTGGTATTCACTCAGGGCAGCAGCAAGAGGTGCTTTCAATCTCAATGCATCTCTATGAGGAGATGCTGATTGGTGCAGTGTGGCGTTTTGCTGCACATGTGCAATAGCCTCCAAATGCTTTCCTATGGGAAATCGCTGGATTGGCTGAGATAATCATATTTGATAATCCCAGCCATGGAGGTGGAGCCAGGATGAAGAAGTCACAATGAGACCGGAGGGCATGAGAGAGCTTTTTAGAGCAGGGCAGGGGATCTTAACAGCCACATATGCACTATACTGTCAGGGATACATGTATTCCTGACACAATAGTATTCCTCTAATCTCATGTAAAGATTTAATCTGCAATGCTTAACAAAGCTGTGTCTTGAAACCCATAAAGGACTGCTTTTCTTATATTTGGTGCTTATTGTAAAGACTTGAGAATAATCCTACCACCATCCATTACAGTCACATTCCTTAAAGAACACTATAAGTGCCAAGACAAATTTAGCTTAATGAAACAATTTTAGTGTATAGATTATGCCCCTGCAGTCTCACTGCTCAATCCTCTGCCTTTTAGGAGTTAAATCACTTTGTTTACACAACCATGGTCACTCCTCCCTGAATGTGATTTGCACAGCCTTTCTAAACACTCCCTTAAAGAGAGATCTAATGTTTACACTTCCTTTATTGTACAGTCTGTTAATTTTAAATTTGTTATCTCCTGCTCTGTTATTAGTCTTCTTCTACCGGCCCCAACTATTCAATCAACTATTCAATCTGAAAGACAACTTCTCCTTCGATTGGAGACATACCCATATTACTTATCTAGGAGTAAAGATAGCGGCCACATACAGAGGTATAGCTACATACAACCTGTCCACGCTTCCACAAATGGGCAAATACCTACTATATAAATGGAAGGACGCTCGCAAGGAGCCTCCGGTGTGTGATTAAAGTTAAATTTTTGAGAGCAAGAGATAAACACTTCTAAAGTAAGTTTACATAGTTACATAGTTACATAGCTGAAAAGTGACTTGCGTCCATCAAGTTCAGCTTTCCTCACATTTGTTATTTGCTGTTGATCCAAAAGAAGGTAAAAAAAGCAGTTTGAAGCCCTTCCAATTTTGCAACAAACTAGGAAAAAAATCCTTCTTGACTCCAGAATGGCAGTCAGATTAATCCTTGGATCAAGAAGCTATTACCCTTCATTGAAAAATTATATCCTTGAATATTCTGTTTTGGCACGTATGCATCTAGTTGCTGTTTGAACATCTGTATGGACTCTGACAAAAGCACTTCTTCAAAAGTTGTAATTAGAGGGTCGCTAATCAAATACGCCAGTCATGCTAAAAAACTGAGGACGGCAACATATAACGACCTTATCCAACAGATAACGGCCCTCACTCATGCCAATAAACAGAGCACCTCACAGACACAAAGTGACAAACTCAGGACACTACAAACTCAGCTCAATGAGATGGAAGTAGACAAAACTAACTACATCCTACAAAGATACAATCACAAATTCTTTGCACAAGGAAATAAATCAGGATCTGTGCTCGCATCCAAACTTAAAGCACGCACGACTCACTCCTCCTGAGTAGCATATATCCTATCCCCAGAAAAGCGGAAGCTTATGAATCCACAAGATATTGTAGAGGAATTCGCACAATACTACAGTTCATTATACAATCTTAGGGAGAAAGACACACACAAGATTTTCTGGCCACAGTTAATCTACCCAGACTTACAGAAATAGAAGTAGAGACAATCACCTGACCACTGACAGAAACTGAACTACACCATATCATAGCGAAACTACCATTACACAAATTCCCGGGGCCGGATGGCTTCACTAACGTGTACTATCAGACATTTTCCGAGGTCCTGACACCTCACCTCACAAACCTCCTAAACCACTGCTTTACCACTGGGGACATGCCATCTGATATGCTACAAGCACACATTTCAACGTTACCAAAACCGGGAAAGCCAGCCAATGTATGCTAGAATTTTCAACCTATCTCCCTTCTTAATTGCGACATGAAGGTCTGCGCTAAAGTCCTAGCCGAACGATTAAAAGACATACTAACACGAATAGTCCATAACGATCAATCAGGTTTTATTAAACACAGACAGGGTTCGGATAATGCAAGGAAGATACTTACTGTCCTTGACAATAGGGAAACACACAAAATGGAGGGTCTTCTCTTAGCGCTAGATGTGGAGAAGGAATTCGACAGGCTAAATTGGCACTATATGGAACAGGTCCTTTTTAAATTTGGCTTCCCCACAGCATTCGTCAAGGGGGTCCTAGCCCTTTACTCTAACCCATCGACCAAAGTCACGAATGGAGGGTTCTTATCGAGTTCCTTTTTTATAACGAATGGCACATGGTAAGGATGTCCACTCTTGCCTTTGTTGTTTGTGCTTTCCCTTGAACCATTGGCATATAGAATACAAAAACTCACCCATATCACAGAGATACCTATACGTAATACCGAATACAAGTTAGCCATGTTTGCAGACGATGTCCTCCTATTCCTATCACAACCAACACAGTCTTTACCACATCTCATACACACCTCATAGACGAATACAGCAAAATATCGTATTACAAATTAAACCTGGCAAAGACTTAGGCACTTCCAATCAGAATACCGGCCCTAACTATTCAATCAACTATTCAATCACTTAAAGACAACTCCTCCTTCGATTGGAGACATACCCATATCACTTATCTAAGAGTAAAGATAGGGGCCACGTACACAGGTATAGCTACATGCAACCTGTCCACGCTTCCACAAATGTGCAAATACCTACTATATAAATGGAAGGACACTCTGCTAACTTGGCTAGGCAGGATCAATGCCGTTAAGATGATGGTTCTTCCGAAATTGTTATACGTCTTTGGAATGCTGCCAAAACCAATATCACCCTTGTTAGGCAAACATGTCCAAAAATTACTGTCAGACTATATCTGGGAGAACAAAAAACCTTGCTTACCTCTAAATCTCCTCCAGACCCTGTTTAGACTGGGAGGGTTGGGCTACCCTGACAGTCTAAACTTCCACAAATCTGCAATACTAGAAACAGCAATTAAATTCCACGCGCCTAAACTGACATTACAATGCGTAGATATGGAGAATGGATACAGCCCCAGGGGCTTGGCATTAGA